CAGGTACTATTCTCAACCTGGGGTGAGCACCAGGCACTGTTATCTCTAATCTTTTTCAGTGGTTCTTTTCCCAGACTTAAGCAAGGGACCCTCTGAAGCTCTCCAGAATTCTTTCTTGGTGAAGCTCTCTCCTCCCCAACACTTTATCTTGAGAATCCAGGTCTCTAGGCCTTGGCCTCCTTTGGTCTCCCAGCTCTGTCTCCTCAACTTAGGGATCTTCCAGCTCCCACTGCCTACACTGCATGTGCTTGCCATCTCTCAGGGACGACTGACCTCTGTTATCTGATGTTCAGTGACTTCATATAGTCTGCCTACATTTGGTTGTTTCAGGTGGGAGGTTAAACTCAGCTCCTGTAACTCCATCTTGGGCAGAAACTCTTGGTTGTGTTTTTGTTTCAATTTTCTAAGTGGTTACAGCAGGGCTTAGAAAATTGCACAATCATTAGTATGTTTGAATCCATTGTGGCAGCAATTGTGTCAATCCATCTCATTGAGGGTTCCCTTCATTTTCTTTGGCCCTCTACTTTACTAAACTTGATGTCCTTTTCTAGGGATTGGTTTTTCCTGATAAAATTTTCAAAGTTGGTGAGTTGAAGTCCAGCTGTCTTTCCTTCTAGGAAGAAAATCATGGAAATCTGTTTCTGAAAAGTAGCTGATGAAAACCCTATGTATCACAATCCCTTGAATAGATAACTGAAATTAACCTCATTAATAATGTGGTCTTTCTAGTTACAGACTTACCATTCCTGATAGGTTTTTTAGTATTTTTAGTAAGTTTTGAGCATTTTATCCACATATGTGAGTAAGATTGAATTGAAGGAAATATCCTAAATCTTTGGTCATTTTTGTGAATCCTTTTTTCCCCTATATCTGTCATGGATTTGAGAATAAATGTCCTCTAGAAAATGAACTGCACTTGGACAATTAAAAATCCATGAATTATACTCTCTAAGATGGGGACCAAGGCAAGGATATCTGCCCCCTCCCCTCTTATTTAACATAATATTCCAAGTTGTAGCCAGGGAAATAAGACAAGAAAAAGAAATAAAACGGGTATAGTTCAGGAAGGAAGAAATAAAACATGTATGGCATGATTGTAGCATAGAAGTCCCCAAGGCATCTACAAAAAAAGAAAAGAAAAAAAAAAAAAAACTAGAACTAATAAGTTCAGCAAGGTTTCAGGATAAAATAAAAACATAAAAGTCAAAACACTGCATAATGTGGATGAACATGGAGGACATTATGCTGGATGAAATAAGTCAATCACAGAAGGAAAAATATTATATTAGTTCATTATTGTAAAAAGACAAGGAAAGGTTTATATATGGAAGGAAACTTTCTTTGTTGGTTACCAGGGATAGGAGGGGAGGCGAGAGAACACTGCTAGTTAAGTAGAGAGAGGTGTTGATTTGGGTGAAGGGAATGTACCAAATGTGAGTGATCAACACAGTGGCATTGAGGAAGAGGAAGACATAGAAAGGTGCATTGGAGTACAGACAACAAAGATGCACTCTTTTGCATGCACAGTAGTACTGTGTTCTCAGTGACAGCAAGTGGCAAGCATTGATCTACAAGTGGATAGATGGGTGGACAGCCAGAATGATCAGATATGTCTAGGCAAGGGGTATGTGCCTATGACCATGTCGGGTTAGCAGACAAAGTTTCTACATCTGTATTTGTATGTGCTGTAAGACTGTCCAGTTGTATAGTAGAGCTGACAAGGGGCAAGGTTGTGGTGGCTTCTTGGCCACAGCCAGCTACCAGAGTGAGCAAGTAGTTGGACCTGTGAGCTTAGGACCATGGTCACAGGGGACATCAAGCTCAATTGGCATAATATACTACACAAATACATTGTTCTACATCCTACTTTGGTGAGTAGTGACTGAGATCTTAAAAGCTTGCAAGTGGCCATCTGGATGCAACTCTTCTTGGCAAGAGCAAAGAAAAATAAAACCAAAGATGCATGGAAACAATTAGTCCAAGGGAACTGGTAGATACTGCAGTTCTCAACCTATATGACCATGAGACCAGAAGAACTAGAGGGTGCCAGGTTACCACTGTCAACCACTCGAATGGGGATCAGTGCAGAAGATGATGGATAGAATGGGAGAACAATGTGGAACAAAACCCAAAATCATAAAAAAGGAGACCAAATTTGCTGGTCTGATAGAGCCTGATGAGACCCCTGAGACTATGGCCCCTAGCCACTTTTCAGGTCTGGAACTGAACTCACCTCTGTGGCTTCCAGCCAAACAATAGACAGGCATATGGGGTGAACATTTACATCAACAGATAGATACACAACTTGGAGCGATTAATCATGGGAGAACAGAAGGGTAGTGTTTTCACAGGGAGACAGCTGAGGGGGTGGCAGTACATGGGAAGGAAGAGCACAGGGAGAAGGTAACTATGGGGAGGAAGTGGGAAGAGAGCTGTTACATTGTGGGGAATTGCAGTCAATGTCATGAGACAAAACGTGAATGAACTGCTATATGGAAAATGAATTTGCTCTGTAAACTTTCACCCAAACCACAATAAAAAAAAAAAAAAGTCAATCACATTTATATATGCTGACTGTAAACATGTGGAAACTGAAATGAAAAACACAAAAATTGAACCTCAATCTAAACCTCACACCTTATACAAAAACTAACTAAAAATGGATCACAGTCTTACATGTAAAACATAAACTATATATACATATATATATATATATATGTATATATATACATATACACACACACACACACACACACACACACATATATATATATATATATATAAAGTTTTAGAAAATAAACACAGGAGAAAATCTTTAAGTTTTAGGGCTAGGCACAGAGTTCTTAGGCTTGACACCAAAAGTGTAATCCATAAAAGCAAAAACTGATAAATTGGACCTCATCAAAATTAAAAAACTTTTGCTTTGTGAAAACCTATGTGAATAAAATGAAAAAGCAAGCTACATCCTGGGAGTGCAGCAAAAATTTCCAAACCACATATCTGGCAAAGGACTAGTATTTAGAATATGGGAAGCGCTCTCAAAACTCAACAGTAAAATTGCAAATAATTGAATTAATATTTGGGCAAAAGACATGAACACATACTTCACCAAAGAGGATATACAGATAGTAAATAAGAGCATAGAAAGATAGTTCACTATTGTTATAGATTAAATTGTGTATTACAAAAAGATATGTTAAAGTCGTAAGGCCTATACCTGTGAATATGCCATATTTGAAGAAATAGAGTTTTTCTTTTATCAGTTAAGTCAAATGAGGTCATACTGGAGTAGAGTGGGTCCTAGTCTTTATCCCTTCTGAATGGTATATTTTAAAACAGAAAAACAGACACAGAAACAGAGTCACACACAGGGAAGGCACCATGTGAGCATCAGTCAGCAAGCCAGAGAAAATCGAAACACTGAGAGCTATAGAAGTTGAAAGAGAGAAAAAAAAGCATCTCCCTCTAGAACACATAGAGAGAAAGCATGGCCCTGCCAATGCCCAGAATTTGGATGCCCAGAATTTGGACTTCTACCCTCCAGCACTGTGAGAAAATAAAGTTCTGTAGTTTTAAAACTACCAACTTTGTGATGTTTTGTTACGGAGGCCCTAGAAACTAAGATAAACATCATTAGTAATACCAGAAACCAAAATCCACTGCCATCAAGTCATTTCCAAGTCATAGCAACCCTATAGGGCAGAGTAGAACTGCCCCATAGGGTTTCCAAGGCTATAAATCTTGACAGAAGCAAACTGCCTTATCTTTCTCCTGCAAAATGGCTGGTGAGTTCAAACGTTTTGGTTAGCAGCTAAATGCTTTAATCACTGTGCCACCAGAGCTTCTTCATTAGCCATAGGAAGATGTAGATTTAAACCACAGGGAGTCATCACTATACATCTATCAAAATGGCTAAGCTGAAAAATAGTGACAACACTAAATGCTAGCAAGGATTACTTATACATCATCACTTTTAGAAGAAGTGTGAAATGGTAAAGCTACTCTGGAAATGATTTGGAAGTAATTTCTTATGAAACTCAACATGCAACTACCATATGACCCGGCAGTTGTACTCTTGGACATTTATCCCAGAAAGATTAAAACTTACGTTCATACAAAAATTTATACACAAATGTTCTTAGTAGTTTTATTTGCCATAACCTGAAACTACCCAGATGTTCTTCAAGTCGTTGGTGATGAAACCAGCTGTGGTAATACTACTAAGCAATAAAGAAATGAACTACTGATACACTCAACAACTTGGATGAATCTTACTCAGTGTGAAAAAAAAAAAAAAATTCCATGCTGTGTTACTCTATGTATATACCATTCTTGAATTGTAGAAATGGTGCGATCTAGTGGTTGACAGAAGTTAGGAATGGGGATGGGGGTGGAGCAGGGAGAGTAAGGTGGATGTAGCTGTAAAAAGGAAACATGAGGGATCCTTGTGGTGATGGAGATGTTATGCATCTTAACCAGTGTCAATATTAATAACTTGGTGGTGATAATCTACCAGTTTTGCAAAATGTTACCAGTGGGAGAAACTGAGTAAAGGGTACATGGGACCACTCTGCATTATTTCTTACAACTGCATGTGAGTCTAAAATTATCTCAAAATAAAAAGTTTAATTTAAAATTTGGCATTTTATTAAATACTTACTAAAATTTTGAGTTACCCAGTGTGATGGATAAAAATTCCTCAGCTACTTACATGCTGGCCGTTTCAAGATTTTCTTAGACATGTTATTGACTACCTAATAATTATCAAAATGGTAAAATGTATCATTTAGCATCTAAGATTAATTTGATCAGAATTGCAAAAGAATGAATAAACTTACCTATATTAATGGTCAATTTTGATTATTAATCAAACAAAGCACAGAACCTCCACGAAGGGAGGATAATTGGCCACATTCATTCTGCACCTTGACAGAATGCTAATGATTCCACCAGATGGGTGCCAAGGTGAGGCTAACCTTCTCCCCCCTCTTCTCTCACAGGACCTCCTCTTCAGTGTGTGCGCCCTCAACGTTCTCTCCACCATTGTTTGTGCATTGGCCACGGCCATGTGCTGCATGCAGATGGTCTCCTCTGATGTTCTGCAAATGGTGAGTGCCCCCCACTTTCCCAACCACATTCAACATCATGTGACTGATCCCTCCTTTAGCCAGTCTGAAACCAGTGTAGCAGTGGACATTTCTGGCTTCCAGTCCTGGAAGCAATATGGACAATGGGCCCTGACCATCCATGGCACTTGGAGATCCTTGGCCTGTCCTCTGGAGCACAGATTGTGTATATATTTGGTGTCATCATTGTGTTTATTTTAGGAGCTGTTGGAGCTCCGTTTTTGTCTGAGTCCTGCTGCCATCAGGTCCCACCAAACGGCCCCTGGCATGTGGCCCTGAGTGATGTTAGTGAAACTCCTGCTGCCCTAGATCTCTTCTGGGCCCAGCACCTCCAAAGCAAGGCATTTTCCTCAGGTTTCAGATTCTCTTTAATAAAGGAAGTCTGGGGTTGTTAGAAGAGTCCCTGAGTAGTGCAAATAATTAATGCACTGGTCTGCTCATTGAAAGGTTGGACATTCAAGTCCTCCCAGAGACACCTTGAAAGATAGGCCTGGCAATTTACTTCCAAAAAATCAGAAAACCCTCTGGAGCACAAATCCTATTCAGACATAAGTAGGATCCACTCAGTGGCAACTTTTTTTTTTTTGGCATGGGGGGTGTCTAGACTTAGAAGATGAGTCTCAAATTGAAATATTGCTAATCTGCAGTCTGTCAGAAATGTCTTGACGGGAATGACACTTAACCATGCTTGCAAGGAAAAAAGATGAGCCCAGGAGAGAGGTCACACACTTACTGAGATAAATATTCATGCACACTTAATAAATAATTAAGGCTCTTTGTTATTTCAATGTGAATGGAGCCTAGCTCACTGTTGAGTGTATTACCACCAAACTCAGCACAATAAATTGATAGGAAGAAACTGTTCTGCAATGCTAAGCGTCCCTTCCAAAACTGCCCTGGCTCCTACCCAATGTTTTATGCATCTTATGAAAGAAAAAGTTTAATTATTCAGTCAGCTGTTGTGTTTGTTCTTATGACTCATCCACCTCATAGCAATACATCAGTTAATCAAGGTATAGGGCCAAAGAGCATTGTTATCAAGATGTTACAAATTCCTTGGCTCTAATCATATGCAGCGTACAGCTTCATTCTCCCAATACATAGCCATGCAGCTGTCACAGCAGCCAACCTTTTGGGGAAGTGGCAGGTTTCTGAAAGTTATCTAATTAAGTAGTTAGTTATCAGAGGTGAACTTTTGACCTTGTTCATTGAGGCCTTATGTTGGCAATTTTTTCCAGCATGTCACATACAGGGAAGGTTAAGTACCATCAGCTTCTCCTAACCCCCGCAGATTATACTGTCAGTCTGCAAATATCACACCACTTTGACGAAACTAACAGAACTAACGGATTGTAGACGCTTACATTTTCCTCATCTTAAAATGAAAATAAAAATTATCAACTAAATAAGGAGATGATGTATTGCAAATATAATATAGTATACAATTATAACGGAAATCTGCAGTCATTATCTACTTTGATGTATGGAATGTTAAGTCTAAAGGCAGGCAACTCTGGGTGTGAGTTCCAGCTCTTCTGCATACGAAGCAGGTGGCTCTGGAACATCACTGAGCCTCTGTGCCTCCATTCCTCACCTATGAAATGGACCTAAAATAAATGTGGCCATTTTTATTATTAAATGAGGAGATAATGTCAGTTTGCTTCTCGGACATTGGAACAATGATCTGAGTAATGCAATGGTGCCATACTATACTTTATAAACTCTAAAGCACTATATAAAACCAGTTACCATCGAGCTGAGAGCCAAAGTATGATCTTGAATATATCCCTCCTGAATTTAGAGATCATCTAAAGAATAGATTTGATGCATTGAATACCAACGACCGAAAGCCAGATGAATTATGGGAAGATATCAAGAACATTATCCATGAAGAAAGCAAGAGATCACTAAAAAGACAAGAA